AGACACAAGATGATTGAAAATAAATTGATCAACCGGAGCGGTCCAGGTGACGCATCCCACGGTCAAGGACACTATTCAGTGGCGTCCATTCACCCAGACCTACCCGTACAGTACATATCAAAAGCACATGATTATGCACCCAGATGAAATACGGTGTATACGATCACTGGATCAGTGTTGGCATGGGACTTACACACTGTATGCCGTAGGGTCATATGCAAACAAACAAACAAACAAACAAACTTTTCCACAGAAATTTCATCATCAGTTGCGACCCACCTGCTGCACCAGTATATTTGAACTAAACCTGTGACGACAGGAATATCCAGAGAGCCCTTCCTGACCCTGAAAGCATTATTATAAAAGTAGGACAATCGCCCACACTTAAAGTTTCTCCAGGGACGACAAGTCCGTCCAGCTCCGATGTACGGCAGTTTATCAATCACAATTTACAGCCACACAGCCGTATGTCTCGCATACAAAATGTACCAACCTCTCGCGTCAGTTTAGTCACATGGGCTGTTCCAGGATTCTGGTTATACCCCCTTTGTATAATTTCAAGTTCGCCTTTGCTGAGTACTTTCCCGATATAATTAATATTCAGTAAATCATGAAATAATAAATCAAACAAATAACATCCCAGGTTTCGAATGCATTGATTTGTACGGGTCTCTGGCACCACAAGTAGAGTAGTATGACCAAAAAGGGAGTCGCCAACGGGCTCTCAGACGAATGGCACTGTAAAAACTTTTCCTAAGAAACACGTACATGCGGTCACGTTCCAAACTAAAATTGCCTCCAGTTGCCCAAAAGTCCATCTCCCCACATCATGTTAACACGAATTTAAAGAACTCAGATTTCATTCAAAGTTAACATGCAGAAGGCTTACATGACTACCGGTAGTTGACAATCTTGCCTGGACGCTTGCATCTCACACCTTTTTCTCCTACATCACTGAATGCTTTATGGGTGGACTTTTTGAGCCATGCCATGTGCTCAAGTACATGTACATGCTAACAAATTTCAACTTGCCTCAAGTCTCTGGGGGTCAGAAATGCTAGTGGCCACTCAGTTATGAGGGTCAGTTCTCTGCTGGTCATTGGAGAGATGCCTGCAGGGGGGGCAGGGACTCAGTTTTGACTATCACCTCTTTAAAAGCCAATCAGTGTCAATTATTAGGACCTTGTAAATCAAAGGCTTCTACTTAATATGTTAGAGGCCTGTTTTCTTTTGATGACAAGCATGCAGTTTTATTGCTTGCATAGTGACTCTACCCAATTACTGGTACATGAAAACAAGTTGTCCCCTTTTATCAGAAGCTGTTTGATTTATCTGCTGGCTGTACATTTGACTAAGGCAGGTCAATCTGTTTGCTCCATTGTGTAACCTATTTTAATAACAATGCCAGTGGGCAGTTGGATTTCACTGGCACCCTTATTTTAATTGTTTGAAATACATTGCTATACAATTGATAAGTGATCATTGTGTTTGCTTGACACCCTTCAGTCAGCAATAAATCCTTGATGTAGCAACAGTGATGCTTGATGAATCAGCAAATAATTGTGTGATTTATCGATTATCAAAGTGATAGAGATTTGATAGGAGGAAATGTTTGTGCATGCCATGTGAACAATGTATGGTACAAGGCGCAGTAATGGGAACTGGTTGGTAAAATCTTTGAACTTTTTAGAGCAAGAAACTTGAAATTCTGCCTTAGATATACAGTATTAATTAATCGAAAACACACTTTTTGTGGAGTTTTCTCTGACTTTTTAAACAGTTTTCTACTCTTGGTTTCAAACTCAAACTTGCCTGTCTCTCACGAGGGTCGAAGAATGAATTATGAAACATTCCCGTCAGCAAAGAAAGCCATCCAAGAGAAAAAAAATTTCTACATGAGAATGCCATATTTCAGAAGTACCATAACCATAAAATAATTCTTGAGAGGCCACCCATGCAGTCCCTCTGCACAGCCCATGGTGGGTACTGTTCATCCTTCTTACACAAGCTGGACTCATTTGAATAATCTTTTGACAGGATCACTCAGTCCAGTGGAGAAACTCAATGGGCCTGTGAAGCAATTGGAATGGAAACTTCTACTGGAGTCAGTGTGAGGGGCAGTAGGACACTTCATTTGTGGCCCTGGGAGTGAAAGGCATTTTGGCCGACCATGGGCAGACTGTGCACCTCTAGTCATTGTCCCGGTTGTGATGTCACGGTTGTAGCAAGGCTGTCTGTTTCCTACCTGCATGGTCTGATGAATTGAATTACATGTATCAATGGTCGCCAGTTGTATGTATATCAGTACCCATTGCTCTCTGTATTAGGTGCCATATTCTGTCTAACTTTGGGATGTGTACATTTGTACCTGAGCCCTTCTGGTGAAAGCTGTTTGCCGTAAGTCTGCATACATGACAGAGAAAGGACTATGTGACCCTAAGTTGGATATCCAAGGGGTATTCAATTGAGTGTATAGTACTTCACGTTGGCCTAATTGTTCAACATGGTAATTGTCCTTGTTTTCTCTTGACTGTTTGCTGAATTGAAAAAGTTGTCTGAAAGAGTATAGAGACCACAGACTGAACTTGCTACTACCAGCTTGGCCGACTTGTCATGTTGTGTTGGACTGGTCAATTTAGGTGGACGAAGGATCAATTTCTGGGCTGATTTGTTGATCGACAAGGAAGGAGAAATTTGGAAGACTCATCAGCGTGGACTTTTTTTTGCCATATCACTTCCTTACCACTTCATGTACCGGTAAGGTAGAACTGTTTACATTGCAAGTGGAGAAGGGAGTTTCATTTAGATGGCAATTCCAAAATAATTTGTATGTCTGGACTGAAAACGTAACCCAACACAATTCAGAAGTGGATTGGAATTTTCGGAGAGTGGGTGCTGTGGACGTGCCATGGGCAGGCATGGAGAGAAATGGAGGACTCAATCGCCACTTGTATGATATGCTCCTGAAGCTGATCGTGGTGGGCGACAGCTTTGTGGGCAAGAGTGCCATCGTTGGCCGATTTGTGAACATGATTGACCCCACCCAGCGACAGTTTCACTCAACGATTGGTAAGCCTTGCTAGTACAGTGCCAGAGCTGTGCACGTATACATGTAGCTCAACAGAGAGCAACAGTTGTCCTTGTAGATTGTCATTGTGGCCACAGAATTTAAAGTTTGAAACAGTGTACAGATGCAGCTTTACATGAGCCAGTCTGTTATCGATAGGTTTACTTACATGTCCATAATCCACAGTCCACTTCTCAATATTACAGGGTTACCACTTCTCATTCACAGATGTGACCTGTCACCACAAAATGACCTGAAAGTCAGTATTTTCAGAAAGCAAGATATTAGTATTTTTGAATTCAGCAGAAAGAGATCTTTTAAATGGTACATGTACATGGAACACTTTAAGTAAAGTATATAAAGTGACAATGTGACATTATTTTGGCAGCTTTACGTCTTTGTTCCTGACATTTTTTTTTCAACATTTCTGACTGGGCACGAATAATGCTGTCATCAAAAATGCTGAAAAAATGATATTTTGATATTATGATCCTGCGAAATACATGCATTTGGAATTAAATGGGAGACGGGTACTCATTCCAAATAATTCAAAACCCAAATATTGACCACTTCAAGATGACTTTGAACCCTCAAAATAAAAACGAGTGGGATTCATCCTTACTCTCATTTTGTTGTGACAGGTCACAAATACCGGTAAAATTTGTGCTGGATAGTCACAAGTATACCTGAATTTAGAACTCCAACATTTCCAATTTTGTTAGGGATTAGACTAACAATGGAGTAACAGTATTATTATCCCTAACCCTCCTCAATCCTTCACTTGTTGGAGGACTGAGGAGGGTTAGGGTTAGTGTATTCCAACAGACTTTGATGGATGTACATGTACTGTACATGTACATCAAAGTGGTGTCGGAATTTGTTAGTACCTTGCACCATGCAGCATGTGGTTTTGCACCGTGTTCAACCACAGCGGTTTCTCCTGACTGAACTTGGACATTACAAATCTAGATCATCACACCCTGTGTACTGTGTTAGGGTCCTGTTAAGCTGTCCCTTTATGTCACCAAGCCTTGGCATACCTGTAGGTGTCTAGGTCAAATGTGAAGGATTGGAGGAAGTGACATTTCAAAGCAATTGAAGAAAATTTGACCCACACTGACAACTTCGCCATATGAATGCACGTGATACATGCACACTTCAGTAGTTACATTGTCATTTGTCACATGACTCATGAACAGATCAGAAATCTCATCCCTTGTGAGCACTATCGTATGTGACTTAAAGTCTGAATGCTTTGCTAAAGTTTAGTACTCGTTCAAACGTGTACGGATTGTGGTTTGATTTACAACATGGTGACTGTTTACTTTGTAAATAACTGTATGGGCTGGGCCCTTTGCCTTCATTTGTACATGTATGTGTCATCATTCTGGGTAGGAGTGGTTGCTAGGACTTGAAGTGGGAAGACTTTGTGATGTCGCAGCCAGTTTTTCTGCTGTCATTAAATTTCTGAGAAAGTCTTTTGAAGGCAAGCCTTCCTGGTGGCCAAATATTTGTGATGAAAATACATGGAGTTTTTATGGAGTGATGTGAATTTTCGTTGAACTTTATGTTGACTTACACGTACATGTAATGAAATCTTGTTATTGGATTGTATTTTTAAACCTTGAGTGATTTTAGCAATCGAGTTTCTACACAATGTACATGTACCTTATGCCGACTGCTCTCTAAAAGCCAGTGGGAAAGAAGAAAATGATAGGACTCGAACCCCTTACCATCCAACTTATTGTGCGCTGGTCTCATCCACAGAGCTCATGGGACTTGACCCGCCTGCTCAAATCCAGTGTACATGTTGCAGCCGATATGAGAATCAATTCTATTCATAAATCAATTCCTTTGATTGTTCTCTCTTTGGTCTCATTTCCTAGGTATTGATTTCAAAATCAAGACAGTTGAACTACAAGGTAAGAAGATCAAACTTCAGATATGGGACACGGCGGGCCAGGAGCGATTCCATACGATCACCACCTCCTACTACCGGGGAGCCATGGGTATTATGCTGGTGTATGACATCACGCAAGAGAAGACCTTTGACAATATCGCCAAGTGGCTACGCAACATTCAAGAGGTACCGTATGTCTTGTAAAAATGAATGAAGGTCCCTTTGGAACTGCAACTGGCAAAATTTTATTTCTTTCTACTTGCTATTTGGCTAACTCTACTCAGAACGTGAAATGGCCGTGCAAAATCTCGCCCCTACATAAAAATTAAAACTTAAAATGGAAAGATGAAAGCCCTTACTTACTCATTCATGCATGTACATGTGTCATCCATCTTGCAATCAGTCTCGCCTGGTTTTGAGTCTTGCATATTAAATTAATGCACATGATAAAGGAACCTTGTTAATCAAATTGGTTTGATTTGTGTTTTAACGAGGGGTTCCTTTTTCAAAACTGAAACAAGACAAGGAAGTGATGGGAAAGTTCAGCATACATGTACAGTGCATGAATGCTCAGCGGTTTGGCCATGGACTGCGGCTGACAGCATGCTGTGCCTGAATTGTGGCATTCCGCATTCGAACACAATTTTCTCATCAAAATAAATCCAACCAATATTGATCTCATGCTGTGAATGGTGTGAGTAGACTGCAGATAGTAATGATATAACCAACCTGCTGTACCCTGGCATTTCAGCTTGAGCCAGTCACCCTTCTGCTACATTTATGACACTGTGTGTTTTGATGGGTTCTTTACTTATTCATCATGAGAGGGGTATGACATAGGCCTTAAGGGTTTATTTTCCACTTTAGTACACATGCCTCTACTGGTAAATCTCTGCCAGGTTGATACGATTGAGAGAGACTAGTATTTCTGAAATTGCCAGAAATTCAGTTTTGTTTTGTGAATACACATTCCAGTAAATGATTTTTCCAGTTCATTGAAAGTTGTTCTTTCACATAAAATCTCCTAGAAATGTTGAAGTAAGCTCATATAAAGCCTATGCGTGGCTGCCCCAATGATGTCCCATCTAGGCTGCCCCAATGATGTCCCATCTAGGCTGCCCCAATGATGTCCCATCTAGGCTGCCCCAATGATGTCCCATCTAGGCTGCCCCAATGATGTCCCATCTAGGCTGCCCCAATGATGTCCCATCTAGGCTGCCCCAATGATGTCCCACCTAGGCTGCCCCAATGATGTCCCACCTAGGCTGCCTCAATGATGTCCCATCTAGGCTGCCCCAATGATGTCCCATCTAGGCTGCCCCAATGATGTCCCATCTAGGCTGCCCCAATGATGTCCCACCTAGGCTGCCCCAATGATGTCCCATCTAGGCTGCCCCAATGATGTCCCATCTAGGCTGCCCCAATGATGTCCCATCTACTAGTTCAAATTTTGAGACAGTACTGTAAATTTGATCTTGGCTTTATTAATAATTTGCCGTCCCCTGATTGGTTGGCGCCCTCATCTGGTTACTTCACCCAGCCAAAGACATGCCTTTGCTTTCCGTTTTCTGCAGCATGCAAATGAAGATGTAGAAAAGATGCTATTGGGAAACAAGTGTGACATGGAGGACAAGCGAATGATCAGCAAAGAGAGGGGCGAGAACGTGAGTAGCCAATGAATAGTTGAGAACCTTGGAGGTCACTGAGGGTCAGCGGACAAAGGTCATCAGAGAAGAGTTTCATTTAATCCTACTACTGCTGACCTTGAAAGGCGCCATTCTTTCACACCCCCAACAAAGAGAGCCAAAGAGTGATCGCGTGCAAGCATTGACAAGCACCTACATGTACAAAGACTGCCGTACAACATGGCCTTGATATGGTGTTGGAAATAAGGTGCTGGGGTTGTTGACATGTATGTTTGGTGTTTTGGCAAAGCACAATCTTTTGTGCTGTTAGAATGTAAAAGGGTTTAGTTAAGGACCGTTACATGAGTACATGTGAACATAAATTCACAAAGACTTCACAGTGAGGCTCATCCATTTTCAGATGTCTGCAAACTTGTTTTCATTTTCAGATTGCGAGGGAGAACGGCATCAAATTCCTAGAAACCAGTGCCAAGGCAAACGTGAATGTTGAAAAGGCTTTCATGACACTCGCAGAGGACATCCTCAAGAAGGCAAGACCCTTTTTCCTCTGTTCCTCGTGGTTATCCCCAAGTTTCATGCCAGGAGGCATCAGCGGATCATTTTGCCTCTTGATGATATTGTTCGCAGCAAACTGGCTCCAGTCTGCCTGAAATCTTGACTTTCTAAAACAATGAGATGCTACTGCCACATTTCATTTCTAAGTGGGACACCACAAGTGCTGACGTTTAAGTTATTTATACGTGATGCTCATGACAGTCCTGTGTGAAACACTAATTTATGTGAACTTAAAGAAATATCAGTGTGATATTTTGTTCCTCAAAAACAGCTCCTGATGTCAAATCAATCTTTTCAGCATATACAGCTGTTACCACTGTCTTGTCTCGTCCAGTGTGCATAATATGTGATAGACATGTCAATATTTGGGGCCTGTTTGTTTCACGTGTATCTGGATCGCAATCAGTGATCCCAAAGGCTGGTTCGCTCTATCCGTTAGGGGGGTTCTGATGACAGTGATCCAGTGTCGGATCGCTCACTGCGATCCAAAGCCACGTGAAACAAACAGGTCCATTCTTTCTGCCTAGTTGTCAATTTTGTTTGAATATGTTTGAATATTCCCCAACTAGGCTGACATTTCTTCTCTTTCCGCCTTCCACAGTACCCACAGAAAGACCCAGCAAGTGGAACAAGCGGGAACATCAAACCAACGGGGGACGACGGCAGCCAGTCAAGAAAATGCTGTTAAAAATTCCACTTTGTGTCTCGTCACCCGCCCACTTCTCCCCCTCTCCCTCCCACTCCAGACTTCTTCTGTCACTGGTCACGTCAAGAGAGACTCATCTTTCAGAGAATCACCTGGTATCGGATTTATTTCATGCTGTGCTGCGACCAGATATCTTTTTTAATGCATAATATGTTGAACGTTTGGAGGCCGTTATTCAGGTTGTAGATGCGTAGAGTAAAAAAAAGAAGCAAATTAGAGTACATGTTTATTGTTACAGCGCACCCATCCTACATTGTGGTAGCCTGTGTTCCAAATAACTGCCACATTATCGTTACAAGTCTGTGGTGTCCGACATGTCCTTCTGACCAACCCAGCCATTTTGTCTCCATGTGCCACATGCAATGAGGCGTACACAGCTTTGCTTATGTGATTTTTTTTAATGATGCGTGAAACGCTGTAGTTTCCATATTTGAGATTTTATGTCATAATTGACTCCACAAGTGTCAGTGTGGTTAGAACTGACAAGAATTTCCAATCTCATTCGAGAGACTTCAAAGCACCAATGGCCCCCAGATTTATAACATGTGCGAGCTACTCCGCATTTAAACCAGGATAAGTCAGGCATCCAGATTGCTTGTGTATAGAAAATGTCATCACTTACTTGGAGAGCAGTTTATATGTTAATCAGGAAATGACAGGTGGTCTCTGGGTGGAAGTTGAGAAGGCATTTCAGTCGTAGGATCTACATCTAGTTTGAATTGTCTGGTGTTAAAGCCTTTTTCTTCTGCCTGAGATGTGAATGAGGCATGTGGTGTTTCTCTTTTGACATGTCATAACCCACAGACTATCAGGGGATATGTGAAGACCTGCCCTCCCCCCCACACACACACAACTGTATTCCACTGTGTGGTAAATTATTGTGTTGAAAGTCACTCCATAGTAGAATCCGCGCAAAACAGTTGGAAACACAGAAACAGCACTGGAAAGTACCGTAGTTGGCATTTCTGTTCAAGGGTCTGTGTACTCTATGTCATGCCTTCAAGTGCCGATGCACATTATAGAAGTTGAGTCATTGTAAACAAAAATTAAGAAATATGGCAACAGGAGAATGATTTGGAAGCTATTGGTCTCGTTGGTTGTGAAGTAGTGCTTGGGACTTGCCAGATTTTTTGGAGTTGAGTTTTGGTTGTCTTCCAGTAGTTCTGTTTTTGTAGCCAATCCAGGAAGCTTGCAGTGTTGAGTCGCAGATGAGCCACAGAAAAGTCTAGGGCCTGCTTATTTAACATGGATTTGGATTGCGATCAGTAATCCTTACGTGGGTTCGCACCATCCATTAGGTGAGTTCTGGTGTTTGTAAACCAATCACGGATCGTGATCCAGATCCGTGTGAAACAAACACGGCCCAGAGTGCTTTGCTCACAGTTGTGGCAAATGTCGTTCGCATGAAACTGTCACTGTTGCCACACACGTCACTCAACCGTGTGATGTTGATGCAATCCGAGGCTGTGAAGGCAGCACAGATATTAAGAATCTTCAATTTCAAATGTCACAATCTCACTTGGCCCCAGATTCGGATCAAATGCTCTTCAACATCATGGAAGGGTGTAAGTTGACCTGTGGTATCATCCTCAAGGAAATCTTCAACCTCACAATGGCCATTAGAGGTTGATATTGAAGTGTCAAGTCAGTCACCAACTGCACTTCAAAACCAAACCAAAAAGATCACTAGTTGATCACATTTATCCATAGCTTTTAGGATGCAAGATTTAATTTGAAATGGTGTCCGGCACAGCAGTGTAGCGTTCATGGTGCTGCATACCAGTTACATAGATACCATGATACAGTGTTCAATAAATTGTGCAAAAAATCTGTGAGTATCAGTAAATACTAGAGGGCGACATTTCCCCAGACAGGACAGTTCTCTGTATAGAAATGTCTCTTTTAATATTAATGTACGGGAAGAGCTATAAGCTTTTCTCTTGTGCACATTAAACGTAAAGGAGACATATATTTTTGGGTGTTTAAAGTTTTTTTAATTTAGTTTTAAGGTCGTATAATTATGATACATTGATGTATAATGAAACCAACACATTCAAGAGAATTTGTACAGTATTAACGATGTATGACAAAAGGACAAGAAAAAAAATGCTTAAACAAAGCTGGTGGATGGACTAAGCAATTGTATGTGTGCATTTTACACCAAATTGTACTGGTCTTACGGGACACGCAAAAAACAAAACTAAAAAGACAAAAAAAAAAATTGCGTGAGAAAATGTACTTGTGCAATTGTTTCCTCGTTTACATACATGTCTAATCTGCAATCAAAGCCTCTGTAGTTACAATTGACGGAGAACCCTTGGGGTACTTCTACAAATATGAACTGTCACAAAAGCTGTAAGATAAATTGGCATTTTTTCTAGTATTTTCTGTACTGTAGCATTATACATTTGGATTCTTTTGACTGTAATGAAGGCGTCAGTCAGGTTGACAGCTCTGTCCCCATGTCGTCAGTGATTCCAGGGACAAATGAATCTTTAGCCGTGGTCTTCCACAGTTTCTGGCATGGTTCCTGAGTCTTCAGTGAATAGACGCTATTAGTGTGGTGTTTCCATGGGGTGTAAGGCAGCCATCTTTGTTGTGTGCCCAGAAGTCTGTGCACAGACTTTCACACCATGGTTTGACAGACTAAAGGCACCCGTCTGTTTTAAACGTAAAGCGTTTTCGAAATGAGTGGATTCGGCTTAGACTTTAGTTTCGCTGGTTCCAGCTATTTTGAAGCAGCTTTCGAAATCACATGTTCAAGCTCTGACTGGAAGCAGCAAAACTGACGTTTAAGCTGAATCCACTCCTTTCGACGGTACTTTCATAAGAACAAGAAGCTTTTGAGAAACTAGGAGTCTGTGAATGAGTGCATTGTTCCTTGTCCAGTAGCATGAAAAATTCCCACTTGGCAAGTGATGAAACAGTAACTCAGGCACGGTTCTGTGTTACAAATAATTTGGTGACTGAAAAATATAAGCAAGAATAAATATGCCATGGACTTAAATTGGAATCTTTCCCAAAGAAATTTGGAAGTTTGGCCTGAAAGTACCTAAACCGATTTTTCCCTGAAGCCTGAAGAGGGGTATTGTGGATGGTTTTTGATATTTGGACACTTGTTGTGTTTTGTTGTTTTTTTACAGAACCGTGTCTGTAGTGACTTGCCGTTTTCATCAACCTTTGATTTAATCAAACCTGGGATATAATCTTCCCTACAGAAATAGTAAAGTGTAGTGATCATATAGTGTAGACAGGCTCTGTATTTCAGAATCCAGAACCCGTAAAGCGTTACGGGTCTTTGTGCACCCGCGACGGCCGTTTCATGTGAATAAAAATTATCAAATATGCTTGTAGAGAGATGCATGGTTGTAGAAAATTTAAGTGAAGAGAAACAATTGTTATTAAAAATCGACGAAAAGAAGCGAAGAAGTTTCATGATTTTGTTCAGTAAACAACGTCTAAATTCCTGTTCTGCGTTGAAAGGAGGTGTGTGTTGCTGTTTGAAATTGTGATGTTGCTAAAGAATGAAGGCATAATTCGGTGGCCCTAGTCTTTGGGGTTTAAATGGGGCAGGCTTTTTTAAGCGGCCATTTTTTTCCTGGACCAAGAGACGGGAAACTCTGTCGAATATAAACATTCACATTTGGTGTGGAAGTCCTCTGTAAAGATTGAAAGTTTGGAAAAAAGCTGTGAATTATTGCGTTACAATTATGCAAATGTGAACTGTTAAAAATACAAAAACATGTATCATAATTTTGTATTACATGTAAATGCCTTGCGTCTTATTTAACAATTGGATAGATATAGATAATTATTTGCGTATTTATAGGACAACCTCATTTCTCTGTGGAACTTTTGATTTTACTAATGGTGTCATAGATTAGAGTAAGTTACTGTTGGGATATCTGGCATATCGTGCCTGGCAAACAACGGGCTGAAACGTCATTACTGATGGGCTTTCCCACGGTTTGCAGATTGTCCGAAATAAAATTCAGCACCAGTTTGGAGGCTTCTGTTTAAGTTAGCGCGGCAATCGCATTGAATAATGACGCACGCGGCGCGCTATAGCTCCCCGATTTTATAAGAATGATTCGCCATAGAGCACAGTCGATGTCAAGCGGTTTATTGAGGTACCAGCTAGCCAATCGGCGAACGATACGTCATGTCTCATTCTCTGATTGGCCAGGAGTTCTCGTTAACCCGATTTTACCGCTCAGTTGTATTTTGTGGTCTTAGTGACATTCTACATAATACAATATTATTAAGCTGAAAAATCAATAAAACAATAATTAAAGTACACGTGCAATGCCTTTCTTGTGAAATGTATTCGAGTTTGCAATCTGTGTGACGAGTCAGGAAGGTCAAAGTTTATCTCGGTGCCATTGCCATCAGTAGCTGAGAAACGTTCCACGTGCATTCCTCTTTGTAATGTCAGTCCAATCCTAATATGCCAGTACTCTCGGGATGCGAGTAAAGTAGGTTGCTTAGAGACACAACTCGTCCCGTAAAGTTTCGAACACAAACTTCACACGCACTAGCTTGCTACACTGCTGAAGTGATCAGCGATTTTTTTTGTCTCCACAGACTGGAGAAATTTAAGAACCCCCTCGTTTGACCTAGGTTTGCACTTTGTTCCCGGCGGCCACGGCAATCACATTTGCCCGCAACGTAGTGCGCCGTGGAATTTTGGCAATTTTTTTTCTCCGTAGTCAAGTTTTGTTAGGTCCTGCTGAGTTTTCTCATGGTCTATTGTACTGCCCATACAAATCATGTTCGGGTTACTTAATAAGCCATTGTAAGTCCACACATTTCTAAAGGTGATAGACAGGGCTATTGAAGTTGCCTTCAGTTGATTTCTCGAAAGTAGTTTTTATCATGTTGCATGAAGTTGCCCTGCCTGGCCCAGCTTCTATACTCCCTTCCAGACCGCGCTAGCGATCGCCGTATCAAACCGTAGTAGGACGCAACGCGCCGCATCGCACTGGGCCGTGATTGAACGCGACAAAACGGCTACCATACACCCTAGCTTGCCGTGAGAACCGTGACAAAACACCCGACCGTAACTAAAACCCTATACGCGGCAGAACGTGGACTAAACTTAGAAGGACCGTGAGATGCCGGGGAATGCACATGCTTCCCGTCCCACCATAACATGGACGGTCTCCAAGCTTTGTTACGACCTATCACGTTGTTGCGTTCACCCAGTTTTACTGCGGTCCACTAGATTTCTCATTCGCACCGTGACTGCGTGGCAAAAGTTACATTAGTAAAGGAAGAAAGAAGGAAAGTCAAAGAAAAATGTTAGGAAATTTTAGGAAATCTTACGGAAAAAATCCAGTCTAAGAAAATTTAATTTTGAGGAGTGGAAACACTGGCGAGATATGAATGGCACCGACCTGAACCAACCTGCGTACTAGTAGTACATATAGTAGTCCGGCCCGAATCACCATTCACTCTACGTGAGCCTAGATGTATGGAACAAAAGGAACAAGTATCCCACGTACGTAAGGGCAAATACAAAATACTTCGTCAATGGTTGCAACTACAGGGGCTTTGAAGTATTGTTAGAAATTAGCCAGCCATGTCAGGTAGTACCCATTGATTCAAACCCTACAACGTACATGTATGCGAGCGTGTTCGGGCACTGCAGAATGTTTTCTTGTGTGTTAAGGTCTATTATGCAGACGGTACATTAACCATGGGGAACAGAAACATACACATTGGATTCTCTGACCAGGACTAACCCCGCTGATAGTTACACCTTGGCGAGCAAGATGTCGTCAGCCGCGGTGTGGTACAGTAGGAAGACTTTTTGACAACATATTGAAACTGGCACGTTGCTAAACAGGGTAAGTGGATCATAATGGAGGATTTCCCGTGGTGTGTGAAAAGCCAAAAGAGCAGGTACATGAGGTCGTAGTTGCAACATTGACATAATACAGGTCGCCGGTTTACACACAGCAGGGCATTTCAACTGTAGCAGAGTAAATAGAACACCAGCGTTTGTTGTCAATCGACATGAGCAAGTTGGAAAGGTCACTGCGACTTGAAAACATGAATTTAGAGGGTACAAATAAGCCCACTAGGCTACCCAATTACGATGTCTATTTATGCCTCAACTGTAAGTAAGAGAAGATATTTTCGATTCAATGCATCGACTGCACCGTATCTTGATCCATCCACACATACAACATACTGTATATCGACCTATTTCTCCCAACTAAAAGTAAAATAAAAGTTGGTCCCCGAGAACGAGTCTCTTACAATTGAGAATTGTTCATATATAGTGAGGAAAACCAGCATCATCGATAGCATGGAACAACAGTTGTTGCTTGAGACTGGGCCGAATACATGACGTATAAGATTACAGATGGGTCCAAAGTAAAGATAGTCGTTTGAAAATCGTGGTTATGAGCTTTTATTTTCTGTTACCATCTTATGGCATAATACGCAAAGTACATAGTTCACGTTACCCTCGAGAATGAGATCCGATGACGAGGTTTGGCGAAAAGTACGATCGGAATGTGCCCCGTGCGACAGGAAAGGTCAGTTTCGTCACCAACTCCAAGCACTCAGGAATGTCATCATTTGATTCCTCGTAAACACGAGTCCCATTCATGTCTACAGCAGGTCGTCATGTTTGTCACCTTTGCAGTACGCGAGTTAAAGCATCAAAACTTGTTCATTTAATCCTAACAGTCCCAAACCCTCCAGTTTCAACATGATTTTACATACACCCTAGGGGGTTAGGGTTAATCAACTCTGATTTGTTGTAGCCGGGAGCTGTTGCGTAACAGGTGAACTGTCCGATACGATTATAGAGTTTTTAGACCAATAAGACTTATAATCCAAGAACTGTGTGGCGCTGATTAAGACTACTTTGTCATCTTGATTTGCAGATCTTTTGCTTTCATGGGGCTCCAGGGTTTATGGGGGCCATTACCAACATCGTAGAAAACACTTTGCCAGTTCAATCGAAAAATCGATGAGGATCAGTTGGCGTTTTTTTGCCAGCACCTGCGTGTGAAGTCTGAACTTCGTGATTTTATAACCATGTACATGTACAAAGTTCAAGTGTTCCAATAATGCGAATAATGCAGCCGTGGTGCTGAATTTACTGCCTTAGTTTTGTTCCTTTTGGCGCAAGAATTTAAGTTTTACTGTATGTGACCTGTTTCCTTGACAACTGTTGACACTCACTTCTGCAGAAGAACTGACTCGTCATCACTCGAATGAAGTGGACCTGTGCCGTACCCGACTTCCGGCCGGACCACCGATGTGTACATGTACAGCGTACATGTACCCGCCGGTATGCACTCACGCCGCGCCGGCACGTACCCATTGTCAGCCCTGGGCCGTTCACTCGCAGATCGCTGAGCTGATGCACACTCGTCTCGGATGCAACTCTAACAGTTAACTGTTGCACTAATCTTCCAGTTTGGTAATCAACACCTCGAATTAAATTCGTGGAGAGTCACACGGATACCAAATCTTAATCCTATTGATGCCAGATGTCGATTAAACATGGCAGCAAGAGTTCATGGTGACAGCGGCGGATGACGTGGTGAGTATGACTTTAGGGGTGAGAGCGTTCTGCTGTCAGTCCAGGAGAGCCATTTTTAAGGTCTTGTAAATGCGTACCTTTTTGAAGTGAAAAGTACCAGTTTGAAAACTTTTTGAGCTGGACTGAAGCGTGCAGGGTTGTGGGACTCACGACACCGAAGAAACATCTTGTAGGCTTAAATCAAAGTCAGTAAGCCAACATGTGAAAAGCTCCCTCTTTCAAGGGATTCGTATGCAAGAAAGAATCACCGGGTCTGAAAATTGATCGAAGTGATGAGCAAAGAAAATCGGCAATTACTGTACTGACAGCTTCCAAATCAAATCGCTTTATCTAGACCCCTTCCCAGCACGGCTAGTACTTCCATGATCCATCCAAACTCGATGGGGATTTGTATACAGTCAAACCTCATTAATGAGAGCACTGTTTATACAGCATATTGTGCTTGGAACACTTCGGAAATGTTTAGGTCCCACTCCGTTAATAATTGTTTTTCATCGCTGATAATACATGGTTCCTATTGTATCAAGGTCCAAAGTTTAAAGCACCGCTTATTAATGAGGTTCGATCGTAAAAGATTTGGTGTTTGTGACCCCACTGCCATGTATCGATATGAAATATCCATACAGAGCTTACAGGACAGACTCCCCGTGTGCCTAACCGAGCCAATAGACCTTTTTCCTATGATTTCACAATCGTGACACCATAAGAAAAAGGACCGCGATGTGTTGTGATCGTAATCTACTTATTCGTGATAAACTATTTAAGTATGCAGCGTTCGCACGTGCGCTTGCACGTGGTTGAAGCTGCCCGTAGGAATATTAGCGATCACCGTGGCCAAGGCGGTCCACACGTGGTGGTATTGTTTACATTTAGCGAAATCCAGTCACGTGGGTGAAAAAAGTCTATAGCTTGGTTGGATTCGAACTAGAACATGTTGAAGACTCTTAGTACGAAAAGAACGAAAATTTCATCCACCAGTATGGAGACTCGATTGTGCCTTGATGCACGGTATATGCACCTGCCATTTGAACAGGCTTTCACGTTCATGGTGCTCCCCGGCCTTCTTGTACGACTCCTCCCCCTTAAGAGAAGGTGTTCACTTTTTTGTAGACGAACAGACCTATTCAGGAATCCAACTTAACAATTAGTTCCAATTTGACAAAGCAATCAACTGGGTACTGTTTGTTTGTAAAACAGATTGCTGCAGTGAGAAATGTGAATCATCCTTTCCTGTCTGTGGGCACAAAACTTTTTTTTGCTAAACAGTAGTAGCTCTTAGATATCTTTAAGTCAGCCTGTTTTGATACAAACAGGTCAACTGTAATTTTGTCGATCAGACAATAACTGAAAAGAACGCGACCGTCACTTCTGAATCCTCTTCACAGGTTGAAAACATGGTCGACTAGTAAAAAGAGAGATTCGTGGTATCTGAAGGATATACATAAGGGAATTGAAACATGTAGTGGTGAGGACTCTGATGTTTATTATCTACTGGAAATACTGACGAGTTTGCCCCTTTAAACCTTTAGCCTGGGAGTTGTAAATCCATACCTAAACTTTACTTTTCCCAGATCTTGATAAATGATTGTATCATCCATCCATAAAACACAAGAATGCGAACAATCATATAAACAAATTTTATCTGTTGTCTGGTTGACACAAGTGCCAAAGACCTGTAAATTGTTGGATAAATTTTGACAGCTACAAGGCCGGTTAAGAAAGATGTAAAGCCGACCTCGTTTTTGAGGGCCTCTCGTTCCGTTGCGTTTACTCACATTGATAAGTGTCGTGTTAGGTTTATTTACAACTCGGTTCGGTCCAACCTCCATTAATTTATGATTCATTGGACCAAGTTTCTAACGTAAACTGGCACGTAGGCGTGTAGCTGTGTACACGTACACTGTACAATGTGCTGTCTTCCTGTAACGTGGTGAATCACAACCTTGCTGTAGTTTTATATTGCTCGAGATCACTTCCTATTCGTTCCTGTTCGAGTCCTTCTTTGACGAGACACATCCGTGTCTACCCAGAATCAGCCAATGTAGACAATTGCGCCTGACGCCATTTTTGGAACGCCTCTAGTAAACAGTTTTCTGTTTTTCACCTCTCTCAGGGTTTGTCTTTACGACACTCCGTTTGGACGCGAGTGTCTCGACAAGTCTCCATGTTCAGTTACAGTCCGCATGTCTACATCATATCCACTAAGAACTTTGCATCTCAACATGACCAACTCCGTGTGGACGACGCCAGTACGAAGATCGAAGCTACTAATCCACGCCTTACCATTCTTCCCGAGGGCGTTTCTCACCCCTCTTACCACATGAACGGTCACGTGGTATCTGACAGACAACCTTTCCTGGGCCCTGGGTATAAGATAGTGGAACCGCCTCAGGGGATCGTACCCAGACGGCCAAAGATGGCTCCAACACCTGACCCCGCTGGGGCGAACACTACCCTTAGATTCAGTGTCTCCTCCGTCTCAAACACGCGGGAGGATCCTGTAAGGAGTGAGCCAAACACCAAAGCAGAGACAAGTAAACCCAGATTGATGAGAAGCCAATCCACACAGACAGAGCAGCTGTGTGGCTTGGAGAAGGCATCCATCTTGAGCAGATCCCCTTCAGCCCCTCCCTTCCAAGAGTGCTGCTATCACACGGAGTCTGTGCTTCGGTCTCGGGGAGCGTTCACTCGGGCCTCCTGGTCAGCCAAGGCCCACTACTCGGACTCGTCGTCCGGCGAGGGAGCCGATGCTGCTACTGACACGGACTTGAGTTACTCTCTGGTGACGGCCAGGAATCCGATCGAGGAATGCCCATTGTCGGTCATCCTCATCGGAGACAGCGGCACGGGGAAAACTTGCCTCGTGGCTCAGCTCGCTGACAATATCTTTATGACGAACTATGATGTCACCGTAGGTGAGTTACAGCTCAATTGAAATTGCAGGTTTTCTTTATCGGCGCAATTGGGCGGTGAGGGGGACACCCCACCCCCCTGCCTCGATATCTGTGTATCCCCTCTCTTCCCACCGGTATAAAGAGCTTTGCTTTGGCTAATACCGTAAACCAAGGTAACTTTGGCACTCTGGGGTATTTTTGGCACAAGCCACACCCGTTGGTTGTGGTCGTCATATCTTTGCAACACGCTATATGAATGATATAAGATTCTCTTAAATTATTTAATGAAAGTAATTTTATCATAAAATACTGCTGGAGGCTTGGCCTGAAGGATTTTTTTTGTTGAAAACTTTGTTATAATCCTTTTCTAATTTTTTTTCATTAAATTCGAGCAACCTGCCAAACCTGCCCCGAACCACAAGGTAACTTTGGTAGCACTGAATTAGACTCTAACTCACATAAAAAAAATAGATGGATGTTTGCTACTACTAGATTGGACTTAAGGATTCATATGACAAACAAATACAACCAACCATGAAAACTGATGTTTGTTTTTGGAAAAGCAGAAACGGTCATCATTTTAACCTGCCAAAGTTATTCCTGTTTACAGTACTGCATGGCCAAACCTAGTGCACCTCTAAGTTAAACGAGGGTCGTAGTTTCACCGCAGATTGAACGTCAGAATGTACTCTTGGGTGAAAGGAATTTAGCCACAAACATGCAAGAAATTCATTTCCCCAACACTTGATAATGAATGAAAACAAATTACCATACAAGTTCAAAATGGTTCCGTTACGTTTCCCGTTTGAATGACACGAAGGCCTTATATTTGTATGTGCAGGCCTACGTCTAGTTTTGGGGGTTCCCCCACAGCTCCTGAAATTTTATAGTTAACCAATGGAGGTAATATTCAATCGATCAATTGAGTTACCACGTAATAACGGTAAAGTAAGTGGCTAATGGCACAATTCTGCGAATAAATATTTCCCAACTCCTCTTAGTGACGAAATATTCCATTGTGAGTATACGAATATATGTATATAAATGTCTCGTTATTTTCCCTTTGTATGTTGCCGACGTAAATCAACAGAGTTTAGACCAAAACATGCACAAATTTATCTGCAAACATTTCAAAACGAAAGTAAAACTCTTTTTGCTGGGTGTTTAACTTTGGAGGTATAGTTCGGAGTGAGTTGATGTTACATGTATTTTGACCAAAGAGCGTAGTTTGCTTATGTAGGAACCGCCTCAACTAATCTATCACGTGCATTTACTAATCAGCTATCACGGCTACTTTACGGTACTCGTCCGGAATGATTGCACAAGAAACCATGATGTTGCTGAAATTACATTCGCAAATTGATACAGCTATCATATTCAGTGTGGTTACATGTACTTGTTCCGGACACAACACTCCTCTTGCCTTTTTGTTATACTACGCTGGCGACTGTTTCCGTTCTGGTCCGCTGCCACCGCGTGGCCCCGGGGGTCGAGGCTACTGTCTGAACTTTTCAAGGAAATACAAAGAAAATACGAATACTAGTCAATCACCGAACGAGGAATACAATTACTCAACAAACAAAAAAATGTCAATTTAGCCCAGTAGGCCTACACGTTGTTCGACTTGCATGACTCCGTAAACAAAATATGAATTTAGAACGCTGTAGGGCCTATTTAGGCCTACGTCTGAGTTTTTTCTGAAAACTAGAATAGACACGGGAAAAGAGTGAGAGTAGTTAAACAATTGTGAAATTGTATTTGTCACCGATACACGCACACACTATTCTTTCTCTTTTATATTTTCGCTTTTTTACAGTCGTGACTTGTCAAAAGATATTTTATTGTTTTCACTGTTATTCACAGCGTTACTCCTTTTAGAATCGGATATCAACGTCCTTTACTCTCATTTACAACTCTAAAACCACTCAGTAACGAACACACATTATGGTTTATACCAATCAAATCTCATGGCCAAGTACGTCCGTCTTGTAAAAAAAACACTACCGATTGTTTCATTTTTTACTCTCTTATAAAGAAGAATCGAAATTAAACACGCTTGCTTACGTTGAGTTTTGTGAGGAACACAATCTACCCCATGCAAGACTGCTTGACCTCTGGTAAGCTGTATGCTCGCCTCGAAAAGAGTCCAATCCCCTATTGATAACAGAGTATTTGTCTTCAGACAAGACAGTGTTGTTTGGCATCGGTCCGAATCGGTCATGGACGAAAGCAACCTGTTATCATGAAGTTTATAAAGCAACTCCTCTGTGGAGAAATATTTGACAGCTTAAATAGACGCGTTTCTATCATTTACTAAATGACCAACATCAGATAGCAGTTTCACTCTCACATAAACTCTTATGGTCGTACCTAACTGTGTGTGTCCTATCTTAGTTATAAGATAAACTGGAATTGATCCATATTTTCAAAACTTGAATACAATAATTATAAACCGATAAGGATAATCCGGTGGGCTCAGTGGTTTTCCGCACGTCGTGTTCCAAATCCCACATAGTACTTGTGCAGGACATGACGCTTTTTGTACATTCTCACACTTAGCTATCGAGGTGACCTCGACTGAATATTTGTCAATCACAACAGAAACCAGTATTGAAATACACATGTATCTCGGGACAAAGGTCATTGTCAAATTTTGCCAACAGATTTCAAAACCAAACAGAGACTTTAAATATTATAATACAATTAAATTTAAGTGTACATGCGTTTTGTGAGAGCGAGGTTGATTGGAGTAGGGAGGAAATCCTTTTGGCGTGATCTTAAGACTGAGACTTATCATTGTCAGGAAAAACCTCATTCTGTTCAGAAAACTCTGACGAGTAACGTTCTTCTCTGAAGTTTGAAAAGATGCTGCCTTGAGCAGAAGCACCCCTTAGTAGATTGAACAGAACCCCGGTTGGTTGGGAGTGTTCATGTTGCTGTTAGCGACGCGCCCGTAACGTGTGCATTTCATAGTCGTTGGTGAACCAGCGAAGTGCAGTTCTGCCCAAGGGAGCCTCCGTTGCAAGGAAAATTGCGCCTTCTCTTGGTCCAGCTAGGGCTCATAAATTGAGACTAGTTGACCACATCACTGATTATTTTTCGCCGTCACCCCAAACCCCTCCATTTCTTAGGAATCGACTTCAACATCGCTAGATTTCATCTCCCTGACGGTCGGCCAGTCAGGTTACAGGTATGGGATACGGCCGGTCAGGAGAAGTATCGCGCCATCACCAGCTCCTACTATCGCAAGGCCATGGGCGTTGTCTTGGTCTATGACGTCACCAGACGTGAATCACTGGACAACATTCTGAACATCTGGCGGAAGGAGGTCGAACAGGTTAGAAATTAGAGGCCCAATCTATTATGTTTATCCACAATAAGAGCACATCTTTCGTTACTTCTATTCCTGTAAATATCACCATATTTTACATCTATTTAGAAAATTCAAGGTATGTTGGCACATTATATATTTTCATTTTGCATCCTTTTTTGCAGTACGCCGAGTCGGATGTTGTCCTTATGTTAGTTGGAAACAAAATGGACTTAGACGACTATAGAACCATCACAACCAGAGTAGGAGCAAAGGTACTAGACCAGGCGCAATAATCTAATACGTATTTGATATAATTTTAGGGTTTTTATCAATTATCATTTTGGTTTATTTAAAGTCTGGTGAAATGCATCATTTGCCAACTTCTCTATCACAGAATTAAGAGAATGTTTTTTAATTAATTGGCTTTGTGTATAGCATTTTGTGTTCATGAGAGTTAAAACAGCCTATTGTGTAATTTTTTGTAGGTAGCCGAGCAACTAGGCGCTATATTCTTTGAAGTCAGTGCGAAAGAAAATCTCAACATTCACTTGGCATTCCAGGCTTTTGCAGAAGTTATTGTAGAAAGTGTGGTACGTATTCAGGTGTACAGACGTGATCCATTCATTGGTTGTAATATTATTGGTACCACCTTACTGTGTGGGCTTCGTGCAGATGGTCTTCTGATGTACGGACATAACTTCAGGATACGAAATTAAGAGCATCTAATGCTGTGATTTACACCTCACGTTGTGAGCTTTATATTCATTTTACATGTACGTGCATCTCCTAAGTAAATGATGTGTTATCTCTTTAGGGTATGAGACAGGGTGAGGCCCACCAGTCTCAACCGTGTCCCGTACAGAATTTTCCCGCATTTTTTAGACTGTACTCACATTTTGTCCGGTTTTGTTTCTTGCTCAGTATTCTAAGCGGAATCCCTGTCTGAGCACCACCGCTGTCCACCTCGACTACAGCAACCACGACAGAAACGAGAACGTGAAAAAGACTAAACGTACATGTAATTGCTCATAGAGGGCGTGCTGAGCATGACAGAGGGCGCTTTTCGTCACTGCTGCAACATGAGTGGCTCGCTTGTTGAAACCGAAATGATGGATTAAGCGTCAGGGCACATGGACAATAAGCACACAATAGCTACGTGCTGAGATGCACTCATAGTGAACAGCCATTTGGGTTCCAAAGTCTAACGTTGTAGTTACTCTCTATACATGTGATTTAGAAGCATGTTTGCTACGTTCTCTGTCCCAACATGCTGCCAGAGTATTATCATAAGGTGCTCCAAGTGTACACGCACTGCCCTTTTCTTGAATGGCTGTTTAAAATTTCATAATTTCCTGAACGTCTCTTGAATATGAATTTACAGCTTCATGTTTGAATGCGAGATACCATCAATGCAATAGAGTACTGAAATGTGACGTCACTGTAAACCAGAAAGTGCAGTGCAAACGAATAGAGTACGCGCGCGTGTTGGTTCACGCGCTGGTTCTCGCGCTAATGCCTTTTAGGCCTACACACTAATTGTGCGCGTGACGTATTCACTTAGTTACTGTATAGGCCTTAATCCGCAGTTCGTAAGTAACTTCGTCACACACAGACGCGCCACTGATTGCATGCAGGCTTCCATTGGACCATGGTTCCATGTAACTTTAATGCAGTGGGCGTGGTTTAGACTGAAGTGACGTCACATTTACGAACCGGATACACGCCTAGCACATGCATTACTACAATACGGGCGTTTCACAGTATTGCGTCTCCAAGAGTTTGCAGCGCGTTGGCCAATCACAATGCGCAAAATCTGTCGACCCAATGCGCGTTTGGAAATGGTCGACAAAATTCGCGCGTTGTTATTGGCCTGCGCGTAGCAAACTTTTGGAGACGCAATATTGTGAACGCCCGTACTGCACTTAATGTATATAACTTATTGTTGTCCGTGAAATTCAAAACATCCTGCACTTAGGGTGGACAAATAATGCCATGACCGTCATTTCTATGTAGACGATCACTGAAATTATCGAAACGCTCAAATTTTATACACTTAAATGGAGAGTTCTTTATAATCCATGTCAAAGGAAATGGGTAAGAGGAGGTGTGTATATTGTCACTGGTTAAAACGTCGTAACCGACAGGCGCAGTCCGTTCATCTATTCCAACTTTAACGAAATTAATTCAATACAGTTGTCGGTATTTTTAATCTTTAAAAAGGAAAGACGATTTCTTAACATATTCAGAAATCATAAGGAAAATCGCTAAGTTTTTTACATGTGCCAAGATTTTGGAATTAAGAGTTTTAGAAATTGTTTTTAGGATCTAGGCACTGCATTTTATTAAATGTGACTAACGGTTGCTTTTGTACATTATTTCGGGAAAATGCACAGTGTGATTTCTAGAGGATATTTTTCAGGAAATTGTTTCGTGCAATTGCCTTTATTGGTGAGTTACGGTTGGTGGTGGAGTAGTGCGTGCAATGATAGTGAAAAGTTGGTGAACTTGGAAATTGAGGTTTTTTTAGCGAAAGCTGTTTGATTCCTGTTTGTTAAGCATCGTTTATTCTTGTCAGAAGTATCCTGGAGCCAAGAAGAAGGGTTATGGCTGTTTCATCCTGTTTGCTACGCAAACTGTGGTTTGTTTCATCCATCCTAAGCCAGAACAAGATTCCTCACAAATGAATAATATATTGCTATCATATTCAACCAAAGCCTTTAATGCGTTGTGTAAGCGCAATGCCTAGCAAAATATTTTTATTTTAAACAGGTGCAAAGAATCAGCAAGACCAAATTAAACCAGTTTCTATTTACAGTATGGCATTGTAAATACGTGTATCTCGTCTTAAAATAAAACTTCAGGAGGTCGAGATTGAGGAATCATCTTGTCTGGTCTGTAGTTTGTTAGATGTCTTACAAGGAGACCTTTGGCTTTGAAATACATGTACATTGCATTATCAGGTGTCTCTCCATGTAGGTGAGCATGACCCAACCTCGTCGTCAGTGGCTACTTTATGTCCGGGATGGCTGCCAATAACCAGGGGTTTATCCTGGGGGCACACTACTGGGCATGATTATGTGAGTACTGCGTACGGCGGCCAAATCACAGTGTGTGTGTTTCTATGAAATAGAGCATTTTGTGGCCCACGAACGTGAAAACTTTTAGAAAAGGCAGGTTTAGGTGACCCAAACGAACGCTAGCTTGTGCTGATTTGGAACAAATCGGTGCTTGAAACGGTCTATTTCTCGAGAAGTGTGTAGGTATCCAATTTTCAAAGTGGCGAGGGCTGCACGGCAGCTTTTTACGGGTAAGCTTCTGTAGAAAAAGGTATTTTTCAGGTATTTATCACGATTGGCTGTACTCGGTCTGCACCCTACGTAGCTCGGGGACAAGTAGCGCACAGGCCGTTACCGCGGAATGACAAACGGGGGCGCCACCAACAAACGTAGACTCCTTGGTGAACAAAGCCATAAGAATTGGACATTGTACTCAAAACTATAGCTACCTCATAGACGTTCCTTCGTGTAGGCTCCTCCCAATTATGTTTTGTTTGAGACTTGTCACATTCCTTGTTAAAGTTGAAGGAACATAATATGCATTCCGTCACTGCTGTTCCACTTCTTCTACTACCGACTTTGTACTGCACCGTCAGACCTCGTTATTTTGGAACCATTAGGCCTATGCCATGTCTGTTGCACGGCAGTGCTCCATCCAGCAATCTACACTGTTGAATTGAAAGTTCTGAGTTCTGCTGGAATTCCGGTGGAACCGAAACAAGGAAAAGTGTTTGAGAAATGTCACATGTGATCTCATCTGCCCACAGGGTCAAAGGCGACGCTTAGCGCTAATATGACGTGCGTGCCTCATGACTGCGTCGTGGTGGCGATGAAGAAAGATGTTTGTGTTTTCCGAATTCCATGTAGGAGTATGATAATTTCAGCCTTCCGGAGAAACAGGTCTTCGAATGTAAGTAAATGAATATCATATTCCTCAAAACACTATGTAGAAAACTTGCTTAATACACCGCCCCTTTCGTGCTTATTTACGTTCAAATGTATAACTCAGGCATGTAATTTTCTGGCAGTTACCAATAGGCTTTTTAGAAGCGTGGCGGACACAATAGGAGAGTGCCGATTGGTTTGGGTAAAATCTTTTGTTTGGTCCAAATTTACCCATTTCAAATAGTGTCCTCCCGTTTCCGCCATGCTTCGAAAAGGCTAAAGTCCTCTAGCCTGACAGGCAGACACTGCAGACTAAATGGATTTTCTCAGCACACAAAAGACGTGTACACCCATTTGCTCCATACCTTATTGGCAAACTAACAACGTACGCAATTCAAGTAGTTTGAGATTAGTGGACCATGTCAGATCAGTTTTACTGACATGGAAATCTTACTTTATGGGCCACTTCATAACCACTGTGTATTTGTCAATGCTGTCAACCGTACATGTGAAACTGAGTTTTAGTAAAATAATTTGAACGATTTCGCTAGACACCGAAAACTATGATTTTTCTGAGGTGAGCACGTAATACAAAATACAAAACAAAATTTATAGAATGATCCCCAGAACACGCTTACATGGACCTATATCTCTCCTGTTTTACGACATCTTCATTGGCTACCAATGAAATTCCGGATAACTTTTAATTAATTCTGATCTTGTTTTACAAATCTATACATGAAGCTGCTCCAGTCTATCTCAGTCCAAGGATTAATCAGAAAATGTAATCCGCCAAGGATTCTTCGCTCCAACAACAAAGATCTCACTCCATATCCAATTCTTACCAAATCATATGGTCAATGTACCTTCAAGAAGTATGTACTGTATGGAACTGTAACTTTCACAGCTGATTGTAATTGTATCTTTCTTGATACTTTGGTCTACAAATCAGCATTCCCTTGACGAAAACCAATCTGCTAGTAACTCTATCTTTAAAATATATGCAGTATGGCATTGTACATATGTGACCCACGCTGTGGAAATGAGTCTAAGTCGCCTGAGCCACTTTGGAGTAAAAATCCTTCAGAATAATTTTGCACAGTGTAAGTCAGTGGGAACCTACAGCATTTTTCACCATGGAGTATCCAATTTATCAGGAAATACCAAACTGAGTGATACATCAAAACAAAAAACTCAATTTGCTCTTTCCAGTACAAACGAAAACTCAAAAAGTAGCCCTGGCAACTGAAGACTCATTTTCACAGAATGGGTCACATATCTCGTCTTAAATGAAACTCCCAGGAGATTGTGGATATCGTTTTGTCTGGTTCGTAATTTATTAGGGGTCTCGCAAAAACACCTTCGGTTTAGGTGAGCATGACCAAAGCTCGTCGTCAGCGGTTATTTTATACCCAATCATGGCTTCCAATAGCGAGCAGTTAGTCATGGGGGCGTACTACTCGACTTTACGGGGCCGAGGCAGCGCATGAGTTGTTGTTGCAGAATGACAAAAAGGGGGCGCCGTTCACAAACGCAGACTACCCCGAACTAGCTACTCAGGGCTTCAAAAATGATGCGCCGAATTTTGACATAGGATATCACTGACTATCTCTTATGCAAGCTCCTCACGTTTTCTTGGAGACTTCAGCTAGTGCTAATACAAAATTTGGTCAAATTCCTCGTTCAAGTTGAAGGAGCTTAATTAGCATTCCGTCACGGTTGTTCCACTTCCAAGTTTAATGACCCACTATCGACTTTGTACCGCACCGCCAGCCCTCCTGGTCACGTCAGACACCGGCGTATAGTGCTCTATCCAGCAATCTACACTGTTGAATAGAAAGTTAATTGACTGCTGGAATTCCTCTGTAACTAAAACCAGGAAATGTTTTGATAGATAGGAAGCGACTTAATACTAGCCCGTGAAACCTGGTGCGCTACTTTTTTTCAGTAGCTGGGGTGACAAATGATTCATGAAGAGGGGACAATGCACTACACCATTTAAGACATTTCAAAAACGGGAATTCATTACGTCGCTTCGATAGCTTAGATAGATATCACTTGTAATGTCATCTGTCCACAGGGTCAAAGGTGGCGCTGTTAATGTGACTAGATGAGGGGCAAGCAGTGACGTTGGTAGGATTTTACAAGTTAGAGGGGACTCAAGGGGGCACCAGCTTTCAGTGTTGTATTTTTTTTTTGGGGGGGAGCTTTTGTTAGTCTTGTTCACCATCCAATCATCAGTTTTTTTGTGGTGGGGGTACTGGGAATTTGTGGGGGGTAGGTGCCCCCTGATTAATCATTGTTGTCTGATTGGCAGAAAGCATCACAGTCATCATAATCGACGGTATGTTTCAACCAAAACTGATCTGCTCCCTTAGCCTTTAGGTCGCTTTGAGTGATCTCTGGACTGAGGAGGAACCCGAGTTTAGGCGAGGGTCGAGACCCCAACCGGTTTCAGACTTTATCCTCAAACTAAGGTTAGGCCCGGGGAAACAACCACATACCCACATTATTTATGATCTCGTCATGGGCAGAGAACAAATCCATTCCCGAAATTTAGCAAAAGAATATGCTAAAAGCATACATATGTTGTTTTCCCAAGGCTTGCGTGCCACATGACTGCATCGTGATGGCGATGATGAAAGATGTTCACGTTTTCAGGAATAATAATTTCAGTCGTCAGGAGAAAGAGCTCCTAGAATGTAAGTAAATGTTTATCATATTCCTCAAAACACGCGTTTTTTTGGTTGTTTTTTTCTGCGCACAATAGACGTGTACAGCCAGCTTCACACTGCACCTTATTGGTAAACTAACCACGCACGCTGTTCAAGCATTTCAAGGTTAGTGGGCGATGTCAAATCTGCAAAACTGAAAATTTTAATTCATGGGTCACCTCATAGCCACTGCGTATTTGTTAACTCAGCCAAACGTACATTGGTGCTTGAAATTAAGTTTCAGAAAAAGAATCTGAGCCATTTTGCTAGACACCAAAAATTTTGATTTTTTTTTGGGGGGGGGGCGTAATTTCTGTACCGTGTCGGCACAAACTGATGTGTTAAACTCTTTGAAACGGGTGAATATTAATAAAGTTGAAATTTGAATGTAGGTTACCCGGACTTTCAAGCGCCCGTTCAATGTTCGAGCAAGCGTAACAAGTAATTGTTGTTGAAATTGTACGGATGTCTATTTTACAGACTGAGAGTACATTTGGAAGTAACTGATTCCGATTTTAGTGCAATGGACAGTTTTGTACGCTTAGTGATCATTGCTGTAACTTCGTGGCTGGTAGAGTTGGAGTAGTGATACCTAGTCTCCATCTCCAGCGTGATAAATCGGTCTTGTGGCTTCACTCTTGATAAGTAGGTAATTATGTTCAAGTAAAATGGAAATGATTTAAACTTCTGGCTGCTATAGAGTACCGAAGTGTGACGTCATTCGGAACCAGTTGATGCCGTACAAATGAATGGAGTACGCGCGCGCGTTGATTCACGCACGGGTACTCGCGCTTTTACACACTTAAGTGTGCGTGTGACGTTTCACTTCCGCACTCTATATCCACACACTTGTATTCTTTCAGTCCAAGATAATGTTGAGTAAAGTACTGACGTAATACGCATCTACCATAAACAGCAGTATCAATGTGCTAAAACGTAGCTGCACCAAGTTCTCATTCAATAGAAGGATTTATTTCACTCAAGGGAAACTAGGCAGAATCGGCCCTATACCAAAAATTGGGAAAAACCTAGAATTTGTCGACTAACGGTATGCACATCTGCTTGACTAACACAACGACCTTGAATCAGCCAGCTTGGCGCTTGCGTTCAAACACTGAGTTAGTAGGCTGAGCGCTTGCTAAAATTAACAGCAGTTTCATAAGTGGGTTTGCCGCGTTACGACTTCTAACTTCGGGGTTTGCAGTAATGGGATACCCGATAATT